AACAAATATGAAGCAGAATGCCCACCCCCGTGACTTAGGAACCTGTCAATCAAACCTTCTTTACAAGTAGTAGGTAAACTGTGTTGTTGAAGTGGATTGCTCAAAGTTTTGCAGTGGCTGCGGCTTGCACACCCATTATTTTATCTGTCCTCCATTGTGTGTTTTGTGAAGTTTTTACTGTGCTGTTGGTGCTTTAAGCACTACAACCAAATGCCGCAGGTGTACCTATAAAGCAGATCATGTGGGGAACCTGTGGTCCTCTACATGTTATTGGACTTCCAAATCCCATCAGTGCCAGCCATTATGGCCAGTGGGGGCATGATGGGAGTTGTAGTCCAGCAATACCTGCAGGGCTGCAGGTTCCTCATCCTTGTTTCATGGGTTCAGTTAGACCAGGGGTAGCCAATGTTGTGCCCTCCATATGGATTGGACTCCAACTCCCATCAGCCCTGCCCATTGGCACTGTTAATTGTTAAGACTCACTTAACATTATGACCTGAGAAGCCCATGAGACTGTCAGGGCACTGCCACACCATACAGTTAAATCTCATCCAACACAGAATTAAAGCACATTACTTCCTGCAAAGATTCCTGGGGACTGTAGTTCCTCCTCACAGAGCTATAATTCCCAGCACCCTTGACAAGCTACAGTTAAATACTTCTGCTTTAAATCTATGGTGTGGATATGCATCACAGGGTTTATTCCTATAGAAAGACATTTCCTTCCACACAGGAATATGGGTAAAGACATTTACTCGTGTCCATTCTCATATTCTTCAAAAGAACTGCTTCAGTTGCAACCTCTTTTTCTAGTTGAGTGCATTTGCATAAGCAATCTATTAGTCTAATCTTCAGTTTAAATGGAATATTGCAGCTGGTTAGTTGAAATGATACTGCAGAATTTGCAGTGGCCAAGAGAGCCCATGCATTGCATGTGGAAGATTCTAGGCTAAACCTCTGGTGTTTCCAGTTTGAGGGTCTCTGCTCTCGTGGCTGAGAAAGACCTCTTTCTGAGATCTTTGAGAGCTGTTGTCAGTCAAAATAGACTAGAGGGATCAATAGTGTGACTCTTTGAAAGGTGGCACCATATGTTCATTTATGTGGGAGGATCTATAACTGAGTGATAAAGCATGTACTGTGTTTTTCAAAGGTCACATATCTAATCCCTAGTTGCGTAGTTAGAACTAGCTGCCTGACCCTCTAGGGAGCTGCTGCCAGTCATAAGATAGAGCTGGCTATATTCAAGACTATACTAAGACAGCTGCATACATTCATAATTCTGCTCATTGCCTCCTGGACTTTGCTGCTTCCAGTGATAATAGTAAAATGCATACTCATCTCAGTGACAATTATGATCTAGACCCGGGAGTCTACATGATGCCCTCCAGATATTATTGCCCCCCAAATTCCCATCTTACCTGACATTAGTCATGCTGGCTGGGACTGATGAGAGTTGTGGTTCAACAACTCCCATTAGCCCACGTCTTTCGGGTGAAGGATTTCAGTATTTAGCAATGCAGATTTTAGCTGTTGCTAGGAGGGCCTTCCTCATTTTATACATGTGAGCATTACCTCTGGCTGCAGCACACCCAGGTTGGTCTAAAAATCACCCTTTCCTAACCTGATGCCTTCTGTTGTTGGACCACAACTCCCATCATCCCTGGCCACGGGCCCTGCTGGTTAAGGCTGTTGGAAGTTGGAGATCAGAATGTGCCAAGTTGGCCTATAGCACCCCATCCTTCCCAGAAACACTTTGGGTTCATTTGGTATCTATTTCTTATCTACCTATGGGGTTGTATCCAGCTAAGTTCTACTCAGGATAGACCAACTGAAATTAATGGACTGAAATTAATGGACTGAAATTAATAATGTCTGTCAATTTTTATGGGTCTACCCTGAGTAGGATTAGTCTTGGATACAACCCTAGCTGTATTTCCCCCCCCCCCCCCCATGAGCATCATGGCCAGCCACAGAATTTTCTGAGTGGCCTTAGGGTAACATTGTCTCCAGATGTTATTGGACTGCAATACGCTTTAGCTCCAGCCGGCATGGCCAGTGGTCAAGGATGATGGGAAATGTAGGCTAACAACACCCAGAGACCCATGACTAGAGAAGACTGCTGTAAACTGCTGTAAAGTGTGAAGGGATTCATGGTACTTTAGGGTTAGCAGAGCTGGATAAGTAAGAAGAATGCTGAGTGGTAGAATGAATAGTATCACATCTTCAAATATCTAGACTAAGGGCTGTCACATGGAGGATGGAGCAAATTTGTTTTCTCCTGCTCTGGAGGGTAGGACTCGAACCAATGGATTCAAATTATAAGAAAGGAGATTTTGACTATCTGTCATGGATGCTTTAGCTGAGATTCCTGCATTGCAGGGGTCTAGATGACCCTTGGGGTCCCAACTCTACAATTATATGATTATATGACTAAACATCAGGAAGAATTTTCTGACAGTAAGATCTGTTTGACAATGAAATACCGTATTTTTCCGTGTATAAGACAATCCTTTTTGCACACACAAACATTAGGCAAAAATTGGGTGTCGCCTTAATACACGGATAGTGAATGCAGAGGGGGGACATGCAATTAATGGCACCATCAAGCAGGAGATTGGCAGTGGTGATTGGGCGGGTGATTGGTGGCTGCAATTGGCTGTAGCTGTGGCAATTGGGCAGGCGATTGGCAGCTGTGGCGAGGTGGGCAGGCGATTGGCTGTGGCAAGTGGGCGGGTGGGCTGTTGGTGGCGGTGAGCAGGCAGACAATTGGCGGCTGCGGCAAGGTGTGCGATCGGCAGTGGCTATGACAAGCAATCGGCAGTGGCGGGCAGGCGGGTGAGCGATTGGTGGAAGTGACCTCCCTTACCCCCCAAAAAAGCTAAAGAACTTAATTTCTTAATTTGGAGTTTAAAAAAGTAGGAGTTATCTTATACATGGGGGCATCTTATACATGGAAAAATACGGTAGTCTCCCTTGGGAAGTTGTGGACTTCATTGGAGGTTTTTAAGCAGAGGTTGGGTGGTCATCTGTCATGGATGCTTTAGTTGAGATTCCTGCATTGCAGGGGGCTGGACTAGATCCCTTCCAACTTTACAATTCTATTATTCTAATATTCTTTTCTATGACTACAAGTAGTGAGTACCATTTCCCCCCAGTCCTCTTAAACATCCCCCTGCTTCATTCCTACCACCCTGCCTGGAGAACCATTATAAGGTCTAAGCAGTCTGATTAATTCTAGGAATTGTCTTATGCTATGACTGAATGTGAGACTGGAGCTTTATTTCCTTTAATAGGGTCTTTATTTTAAAACACAAACACTTCATTTTCTCCCTAAATTGCAGCAGCAGCAACCACACTCAGAACAAGCTGTGTTTCAAGCTGAATCCCATTGTGCTAGCAGGAGCTGTCTTTCAGCTGGGTCGATGAACATTTTCCCTGCCTTTTATATACCTGTGTAGGTTTTCCTCTGAAGTTTCCCTGTATTCACCATATAGCACATTTAGGTCTCGTTCCACAGCGCCGTTCCTGGTCTTCTTTTGTATTCCTTTGCATGCCTCTGTAAAATGGGCAAAATGTAATATGCTTGTGTGTGTTGCAACAAATGCCCTTTTTTTGTACCAAGCTGCTTCCCGCTGTTGTCTTCTCAGTGCTGACAATGGGTCGCACATTTTATTTCTCTAGTACCTTTTGAAAAGGGCTCATGTATTCCAAGAGGGCCTTTCAACATTCCCCAGCTCGTAGGTGGGAGGGAGGGACCATCCCTTGTGTGTTATTACTGGCCTGTAGTGACTTAGAATAAGCCATAAAAGTACTGGAAAAGGGCACTGGGAGAGAGGTTTTGAAACACCAACAGGACAGAACTTTACACTGTCTGTTCCTCTTGCCAAGTTGCCTGTTGCTAACACACCAGTGGAGAGTGACTTCTGAGGCACAAGTTCTGTCTGATGTGTTTTGACAGATCTAATCAGGTGAGCATGGTGATGCCTCCTCTGTACCCACTCACCAGTGCCTACCTTTGTGAATTGCAGTTCAAACTGAATATCCTTCACAATTACTCTGTCATCTTGAAGCAGAGCCAGTGACTTCACCAAGGTTGATAAAGAAACAGAGAGGGAGAGACAGCATGCTAAGGAAGCTGCTGCAGAGCAGAATTCAGCTGTCTGGCACTGGCACCATCTCTAGTGGGCCTTGGGAGCCCAGGAACCCACATTTATTTTTATTTTTTTGTTGTGGGTGCCCAGCTCCCCCCCCCCCCGGCTGCCTTAACTCTGGTGCTCCAGCATTGCTGCCTTAACTCTGGGGCTCCAAGTGGGCTGAGGTCTCCACATCCGCCATGGGGCTTCTGTTGGGACCCACTACAGCCACAGATGTGCTTCTGAGGTTTGTCCTGGCCACAGTGGGCCCCAACAGGAGACCTGTGGTGGACATGGAGGCCCCAGCCCAACACCACCTCTGTGCTGGAATGTGAGCATGCACCATGACACAACTTCATGATGGTGTGGCACGCATGCACTTGGCACTTACAGTCTGAGAACTAAGTCAGCACTGCTGCTAAATATTGTGGTGCTGAAAAGAGTGGCAGATTTATTGTGACAGAATCTTTGGTGGATTGCAGCCCACTTCTTTAGACGAATGAACTGCTTTCTTTGGTACACAGATTGTGTTCACACACTAACACATCCAAAGGGGAGTGTAGGCAGCAGATCCAAAAGGCCATCAAATACAATGGTTAAACAGAGCTGGTTTGCAAGAACAGAAAGGAGCCTGTGCATTCAGACAGTCAAGGTTTGGCTCAGTGTGTTATGTGAACCAAGCCACAGTCTTCAGCATTTCCATGCAAAACTCAGATGCATAAAGAAAAGCACAGTGATCACTCAGGATAGCAGTAATTGGCAATAACACACAGTCTTTGTAGCTTTGCTTTGATAATTAACAACTTGAATGGGAGAGCTCAGGTGATCAAGAAGAGCCAGTCATATTCCTGTTATTGCAATATATCTCTGGCCAACTGCTCTCTCTCTCTCTCTCTCTCTCTCTCTCTCTCTCTCTGTGTGTGTGTGTGTGTGAGAGAGAGAGAGAGAGAGAGAGAGAGAGAGGGAGAGAGAGAGAGACTGACTGGGCAAGGAATCAGTCAAAGCACCCATCTGCACTTATTTGCCTGCTGTGTGCTCTGCCAGCTGTGCTATCTGCCACTCACCCTGTTCTGCCTTATCCAGACCTGCTTTATTGCCTTCCCCTCAGTGTAATGGGCTATTGGTTTTCTGCCTGCGCTGCCAGGTGCTACATCTTCCTGAAACTCATCCTGCAAGGGTTTTGGTTCTGAGCACCTGTCAGGCATCTCTTCTCCTAACCATTTTATCTGGGTGTTGTTGTTTTTTTTTAAGTTTTATTCCTCTTTCCTCTGAAAGGCACCAAGCAACAATTCCGCTGCTGTGCCAATAACTTGCTGTTGTTGCTGACTTCAGTAAAGCAGGCAAGCAGGAGACAGAATGTCATGTATTTTATTGTCCCATGACACAAAAGCAGTTGAACAAATTGTGGTGGGCAAAGAACAATTGCCGTATTTGTTATTGCTGTATGTCTTACAAATTTGTGCCGGCATCATGCATGATACTGTATGAGACGCAAAGCGACAATGGTTAATTTCAAAGGCCTTGTGGTTCACATCAGAGAGACTGGGGTGGGTATTCTGAGCCAGGTTCCTCCAGGTCCTGAATAGAAAGTGAGTGTGTGTTTACAAGGAGTGGTAGATCTAGTAACTCATGATAGTTACTTAGGGAGCGGGGTGGGGTGGGGTATTGTTTTGTTATTTGTGTTTTTACTATTCATGCTTTTATCTTGTGAACTCCCCTGAGATCTTTTGACGAAGGGTAGTATATAAAACTAATAAATAATATTATTATTAATAATAGATCAATTAGGGGAGAACAGATGTCTGTCCCATTGGCTGGGGACCAGCCCTCTGTAAGTGGAATAAATAAAGCAAATGTTTACTATTGGATTAGACATGTGTACTGAAGTTAAAATGTACATGGTACTAGAGAGAGGTGATCAGCTTAGCAAGTATAATTGCAATAATAAAACAATATTAATAGGCTCAGAGAAATTGCTTAATAATGTTCCAGTTAGGATTCTTAACTATGCATCATCCCCAAATTGCAAATGAGCTTGCTGAGTTCACAGAGGAACTTACAAAAAGAGAGCGAGAGGGAGAGCTAACAGCACAAATGCATAGCTTGGTAAATGAGTTAATTAGTGTTCAATTACTAGACATTACTATCTATTACTAAATATTGCTGCTACCAATTAGATGTTGAATGGACCCATATTTTGCTGCAATTAATAATATAAATTTTATTAATAAATGCACAGATGTGTTTGGGTACCAAGTGAAACGTGTATCTGCAAATGTCTGGGTATGAAAACATAACCAGGGTTCATAGTTGTTGTGTTTAAATGTAGAAATTTCAGTGGAAAGCTTGGTTTTTAACACGTTGAACCCTTTCAGGGGTCTTGGAAGTTGGATAGGACTGTGGTGAGAGAGAAGCATGGAAACTAACTCAGCTCAGATAGCCACACTGGTCCACGATTAAAGAAGCTTCACTATCATTTTAGACGGTTTCTTAATTTGGCAAACCGGAATCAACAGGGTTTGTGCTAACTTTGGTCAGAATGGATAAACCATAGCTTATGGCATTTTCTCTGCCCCCACTTGCTGTTGCTATGCTGAATGGCTGAGGCTTGCATGGATATGGGATACAGATTTATGTGGATGCAATGAATACAGAGAAGTGCAAAGAAGGGTATGCATTTAAATTATTACCTTTCTGCCCTCCCATCTGCTATCCTGGAGGGCTATCAGCACTTCAGACCAGAGACAGTTTGGTTGGACTTGGTTTGAAGGAAAAGAGGAGGTTCTTCGTGTAAAGTGCAGAGCAATAATTGTGAAGTGCCAGAACTGAAAGGATGACAAATAATACCCTTAATAAAATGTATCACACTCTTATATTGAATGCAACAAATTTCTTATTCTCCCACAAGCATTCAAGAGAGACCACAGTGGTACCTTGGGTTAAGTACTTACGGTAGTTCGTTCCAGAGGTCTGTTCTTAACCTGAAACTGTTCTTAACCTGAAGCACCACTTTAGCTAATGGGGCCTCCTGCTGCTGCCGCGTTGCCACAGCACGATTTCTGTTCTCAACCTGAAGCAAAGTTCTTAACCTGAAGCACTATTTCTGGGTTAGCGGAGTCTGTAACCTGAAGCGTATGTAACCTGAAGCGTATGTAACCTGAGATACCACTGTATATATTTCTTAACAGTTAAGGCTGATTCAAAAATGCATTAAGCACACATCATATTTGAACTGTGTCCACAGTTATTTTTAGTTGTTTGTCTCTTAAGGATGTGTATATATATATATATATATATATATATGCATGCATATTAAGAGTTAGGTTTCTCCCTACCCCCCATGTATTCTAAATAGATAAGCTGCTAAAAATACTCAGATTCTCAGTCTAAATATGCCATGTGGGATGTATATTGGATTTCCTGTTGCTTTGAAGTGGCATTTAGAGCTTTTCTGCATTGCAGTTTAAATGTATTTGTCTTCTTTGCAGCTGGTTTTTTTTTGGGGGGGGGGAGTAATGATTAGCTTTTTAAAGAATTCTAAACACAACAGCACTCAACAAACTATATTTTGTTTCCAAGTCTTTCAGCAGTAACAAAATCTACAATGTGTTGCATTCAGTGATAGTCCTACTCAGAGCAGACCCATTGAAACTGATGGAATTAAGAAGTTCATTAATTTCAATGGGCCTGCTCTGAGTAGAACATTCTCTATCTTTAAAGTAAAGATGGGTGGATCAGGCTATTTCTGGTCTCTGCCACTTTTGCAACTGTTCACCTATAAGCCCATCCTGTGAAGTTTCTAACTGTGGCATTAGGGAAGTTTGCTGCTGAAGTGCCACGACCGTGTATAGTAGTCTTGCAACCCACCATACGGTCTCTCGGATTGTCTGGGCTTGTAAATTTGCAATAGCATTATTAGCCATGTGAGCCACTACAGATCTTGTGGAAAGGGAATACACTTCTTACACTTGCTTCACCTGCCCTTGTCTGATTTCTCTGTCTTCTAGTTGCCCTCAATTCTTGGAGCCACTGCGTCAGTTAACCTCACTGACTTGATAGCAGTAGTTTATTGTCTTTAGCAAACTCCTAAGCAAGAGTTGTGAGTTTTATCACCCCACTGCAGGCTTTCTTTGAATGTGTGATCTTTTTTTAAAAAGGTGTCACATGCTGTGAAATTGAACACACTGAGTAATTGCATCAAGCCTTTAAGACCTTTGCAGACATATAATTTACAGAGCTCTTGTACTGTTGGAGTTTGTCATGTACATGCAAAGTCACATACTTTGTCTTAAACTTTTCACCAAATTCTTGGTTGCCAAGGAAACCAGCAAATATTGGCAGATGGAGAGAAATTCTTAGTTGCACCTGAAACCTGTCCTTGGCTTGCGTGGGTATGGAAACTCTGGGAGGAAAAAAAGGCTTTCTCTGTTTGCGGCTCTGGATAGACATTGCTAGTCAAAATAGGAAGTATAGGGCTAGATAGACACAGAGTCCAACTTGGTATAAAACAACTTACATTGTCCCTGCAGTATGAGTAGCTTCCTTGATGTGTGCTGAATTGGACTTCACGTCCAATATTGTGTTTCCTGTGTATTTTGTGATGCAGTTGTTTGGAGTATGGGGTGTTAGGGGAGGGTAGTACCTTTGTTGGGGGACACATTGTGCTTCTTCTGGGGTAGTTTGTACACCTTTGGTCCACCTTGCACTCAGCTCTCACCTGTGGCTCCTAGAAACTGTCAGCATGCAACAGTGGCCAAACCTTAGAAAATGACTTTGACTGGGCAGCCAAACCTTCTAAAAGTAGCTGATGGGTCTCAAACCCTTGGTGAGTTATGGACTTCCCCTGCATGCCAAGACAATTCTGGCAGATTGAACAAATCAGACCAATAATGAGTCCAAAGAACAAGAAGGTGGTTTCTACACGTACCTTAGAGTGAAGTGAGGGGCAGATGGAGTTCATCAACTCCGGAAGGTACCCCATCTAGGAGAAGAGAAGAAAAGGCCAAGGACTAAATCCTACACAGATCTGGAGTGGAGTCTGGAAGATGGTTGGATTGCACCTTATGTACCTCCTTCCAGCAGCTTTTGCAGCCAAGATGGTGCCAAACTTATTGTTCTGCTTTCCTTTGGACCACATCGGTGACACTGAGAGCAGGGTCTTTCTACCTGGGAAGCCCAAGACCTCCATACTCACAGCCCAGGCTTGCTGCCCAAAGAGGTAACTTCAGTGCTGCTAACATAGCAATTTGACATCACCTCTAGAGGCACACTCCATTGAGAGACTCTCTTGTCTCTCAAGATAGACAGATACCAACATGTTAGGAAACTGATTTGTTGAAGGCTTCCATAATTGTTCCTTGTGCGACTTCTTCTCACTTTGAACTTCAGTTCTCCCCACTTTGCCCTATCACACCACCTGCTTTGAAATCACCCATTAGTTTGAAAAGCAACATGCTACATTTCTGGGTATCATATGATGGTAGTAGGGGGGTGGTCTGCTTTTGAAAATAGTCAGATCCCTCTGCCTCCTCCCTTTGGAGGGAAGCACCTGGTTCCTGGACTGTCAGGGCATAAAATATGCCCCTCACATGCACCCACCCATATCCACACCCAAAAATATTGCACTTTTCTTTGAATTTGAATTGTAAGTTGCCTTGAAATAAAATCCTGCCTGAAAGGCACAGGATCAATATACTAATAAAATGTGTCCACCCAAACCCGCCTTGGGCTCATGGAATGAATTCTGCAGCCCTTTGGTTTCTGGTGTATGAGTTCCTCATAGACTTTGCTATCTCCTATGTAACTGGAGCTGCCTTTCCCACTTCTCTCCAGTCAGTTTTCTTTCTCCTACTGCTGACTGAGATAAGGTTGGAGAAGCAGCAGGTGCAGTTCAAAGCCTTTTGAATTGCTGCACATTCCCTTTTTTGGCTCCTATGGCAATACCATATCTTAACTAGTCCTCCTCATCCATCTTCTCCTTCCTTCCCA